ACAACAAAAGCCTAGTCAAAGTCTGGTCTTTCTGGGCTGGCCCTGTGGCCTAGCAGTTAAGGGAGCCAGATCCCATTTGTCTGATCATGGTTCAGATCTCAACTCCAGGGGCTTGGAAAAAGCATGCGTGCATGTGTGCCCCAAATCCTGAAAGAACAGAGAAGTGGAAGAACAGGGATTGCACATGACCATGCCCCACTGAGAGGTGCTTTCTCTCTCTTTCTCTCTCTCTCAAGTACACACACCCTCTAGCAATCTAGCAAATAAATAAATAAAAAGCCTATTCTTTCTGGCCAGAGGACCAGAAGAGGGGCAGTATATCAGGATGGAAACTTCTTTTGACAATGTCTGCCCTACTCCAGACAAACACCATCGGGGAAAAAAAAACACCCCACCCTATAGTCAAAGGAGTTTGAGTGTGAGCCTAGACTCCCTGCTCACCACTACTAACCTTGCAGTAATGGCACCCTCCTCTCATCTTCACAGTGTCACCAGAAACCAAGTGGGGAGCCTGGCCTCATCCCCACCCTGAGGTAGTGAGTTTGGAGTACTTTCCCCCAGGGTAATGTCAGCAGAAGCTCAACAAAATAGTTTAAGTAAGATTCAGAGTCTCATAACATAGTTCCAAAATGTCTAATAGAAAATCACCTGCAATACTAAGAATCAGAAGATCTCAACTTGAATGAGAAAAGACAACAGACCTCAACATTGAGATGTTGGGATTATCTGACAAGGACCTTAAATAATAAAGATGACAAGAAAAATCAATGAAATACATAAAAGCAACAGTTGATGAAAGGAAAAACTGATTTTTCAAAAGATCAATTAAATTGATAAACTTCTAGCAAGAGGAAGACACAAGTTGCTAATATCAAGAATAACATTGGTTGTCACTACAGACTGCAAGACCATAACAGGGTAATAAGAGAATACTATAAAAAAACTCTACCCATATAGAGACCAGCAGATGGTGTAATGACTATGTCGCTGGACTCCCATGTAGCTGACTGCGGTTCAAGTCCTGGACCTGGTGTCTTAAACTCATGCTGGGCGTGTGCGCGTGCATGCCTAAGATCCCAAGAGGAGAATGGAGAAGGGATTGCAGTGTGGCCATCCCCCCTGGGAGGCAATTTCTCGCTTTCTGTCTCTCTGTCTCTGTCTTTCTGGCGAGTGCACGAGCCCAGTGGCAAAAATCTCTTAAAAAAAAAAAAAAAACTCTACCCATATAAATTTAACAGTTCTTTAAAAAACACAAATGACTGGGGCCAACAAGTGGCATGGTGGTTAAAAGCGCTGAACTCCCACATGGCTGAACACGGTTCGAGTCTTGGACCTGGCGGCTTGCTTTCTCACTTTCCTTTCTCTCTCTCTCTCTCTCTCTCTCTCTCTCTCTCTCTCTCTCTCTCTCCCCCCCCTCTCTGTTCACAAAATAAATAAAGTTAAATCAAATAATTCTTTAAAAAACCACACAAATGACCAAAACTCACTCAACATACAATAGATCATTTGAAAGTCTCATAATGATTTTAAAAATTGAATTCATAGTTTTATAAAAACAGCTTCCTGTCTCAGCACCACACAACTATCAATAGTTTGGTGACTC